CTCTCTCTCTCTCTCTCTCTCTCTCTCTCTCTCTCTCTCTCTCTCTCTCTCTCCCCCTCTACATCCCTCCTCCCTCCATCCATCCGTCCATTCGCTTACGGCAACTCCATTTTGGCGAGGGTGCTATTTTGCAAGCAGGACGGGATTTGTGCATGGCCGCTATCGGAAGGAGTATGAGGGGATCATGCCCTGAATGCGCGGAAAGGCAGGCGAGAAGGAATGCTAAGGGGAGGTCAAGTGCCTGGTCATGCAGGCAGGAGAAGGTCACCATCAAAATCTTTAGAGGCCGGAGTAGTAAGATAAGGACAAAGGGGCAGGGGGAGGATGCGGGATGAGGATGAGGGATGAGGAGGAGGAGAGGGTCAGGATTTTGCCGGTCAAGATTGGATGTTTCGACAGAGAAAGTAGAAGGAGAGTCACTGGGATAGGGTGGAGCATGCAAGGGAAGTTTGCCGACGTTAAGGAGGTTGTGTAGGTGGAAGACATCGAGGAGGTTTCTAAAGTAAATGGGAGGAGGATGTACGTAAGGAACTCAATTTGCGAAGAAGCGGATGCGCACCATGGATTGGGAGGGATTGATCAGGTTGTGGGATCGAGAGGGGGACAACGTTGGAATATCAGCCACTCACAATGAGTGTGTAGGGACCAATGAAGTGTAGGAGAAAAAACGCAAGGCAACAGGGTGAGGAATGCAAGTCGTATAGGGGGATCGAGACAAGGTGGGGAAGACGAGATTGCAAGGCAGGAAGAGGGGCTAAGTGCGGAGGGAGGGGGAACAGGTTGTAAGGAAAGGAGCGAGCAGGATAATGACGAAGGGGCTGAATCAGGAGACGGATATGGTAAATGTGGATACGCAGGTGATGGAGGAGGAGAGCAATGAATAGAGAAAGAGCGACGAACAAGAGGAAGAGAGAAATGGACATACCAGATCCACAGGGGCCACATAGAGTATTGGAGTAGGAGCTCCAAGAGGATCCCAACGGAGGAGAGAAAGGCATGAAGAGAG